TTTATATAATATTAAAGTAGTAAAATTTTGTATTTATATTATTGTGAAATTAATTCTGAATTTAAAATTCTGATAAGTTTGCTTTAAATTGTCTAAAGAATAAACTTTTATTATATATTAACATTTTTGTGAAGTTTAATTCGTAAAATCTGTAGATTTAAAAGAATTATCGATATCTTGGCATATTATTGCGTTAAGAAAAATAAAGATTCTCGAAAGAATGTATAAGTAAAAAAAGGATGAGATAAACCTAAGACGCCTTATATATCTGAGTGATAAGGAACATTACAATTGCGAGACCAAGAGAGCGGTTTTGTTTCTTTTATTATTAATGTAATCATGTTTACGTAGGAATTTCACCCAAGAAAATAAAGGTATCATGTCAATTAATCGTTATCACATTAGCCGCCCGCAAAAGAAAGCAAAGACATGAAAAATATTGAGATAACAACTAACATAAAGCAAATGTACGAAGATGAAGCGATTTTTGCTACAAATTTTTGATTGATGTAATTTTTACACGGTCGCACATGATGTAACTATCCTCTATAATTATATGCGCAATTATTTAATCACAAAATTACAAAATCTAGATCGTGATGCGTATATGAATGTCTAAGATGGTTGAATATTTAATAAGAAGAAAGATTCCATTGAAAAATCTTCCCTTTTCCAGGTACGAGCGATCGAAATTCTGTGAGAATCAATCATTATTGCTGTAATACGATAAATCCTTATTCTTCATTTTTAATTATGAATAGACTTTGGTCAACAGAATTTCGATACGACATATATCAAGACATTAAATATCAAAAAAGTGAGACGGATCAAATTTTTTATATAAAATATTCAGAGATCAAGAAGAAGATTGAATTAAAGAATCTGTGGATGTTCACCTCTCAGTAAGAGCCACCTCTTTGTGAGATGTTATTAATCATCACTTTATGACGATGATATTAATCAACATCGTCGATTAATAATCAATTGAATCATTTTGATTGAATTGCTAAACATCATGACAAAATCTTATAATAATTTTTTATTATTAATTGAAATCGCGATTGGCAAATGGGGAGCGAGGAATGATTTAATTTCTTCATCGATTTTATACTGAGTTGTCCAATTCTTTAATCACAATCACAAGCAAGAGCTGATAGCTGTGTCTGATCGGAAGGTACGACATGCGAATGCAGATAAAGAACAAAAAAAACGGACAAAATGCAGGCAGGTCTGAGCAGGTCGCGACTTCAGGTCAGCCGATTATAACAAAATCACACTGTTACCGGTATAAAAGCCGGCAACAATCCAGCTGTCAGCTATCCATTCTCCTCTGCTGACTTGCAAAGGTAGCCGAGATTTGCGTGGAGACATCGAAGGCTGAACGCGATGCTGAAGGAGCTCTTGTTGTTAGCGCTGGCGGCGCTATGCATGTCGGAAGGGTTGCACGTCACCAGTAAGACCGCCGACATGGACTTCCTTCACAAACAGAAGAAGATCTATGAGCTGATGTTCTTCATCAAGCAAAACACCCTCACCGATATGGAGTTCTACGAGATTGGCCGTAATTACAACATAGAGAGCAACATCGACATGTACAACGATAAGGTGCCTAAACTAATTTGAAGACGGGAGATGTTACTTTCTAGAATAAGATAAATGTCCAAAAGGCTGAAGGATTTCAATTTCAATGACGTCCTTAAGCATGTCCTGTTTTTCATTCTCCGAATTTCTACATACATCGTTGTTCATTAATCTCACTTTCCATTTTTCTCGCAGTTGATCGTCCAGGAATTCCTGTACCTGTACAAAAACGGCATGCTTAGTCGTAATGCCATCTACTCGCCGTATTACGAGGAACACCGCGAGGAGATGAAGATTCTCTTTAAGCTTTTCTACAGCGCCAAGGACTTCCAAACTTTCTACAAGACCGCGTCTTGGGCGCGTCTCCACCTCAACGACGGCGTCTTCACGTCCGCCTTCACCATCGCTGTCTTCTATCGTCCCGACTGTAAGTACATGAAACTGCCGGCCCCCTACGAGATCTATCCCAATCTGTACTTCGACAACGACGTAATCCAGCAGGCCCACGATATCAAGATGATGCGCGGTAAGTCACATCGCGATTCTGTAAATCAAAAATATTTAATTAAGAAAATTATACACAAGTAAATGTCTTCTTTATACAAATAGGAATCATGTCCACCAATATGGATAATGTCGACAACTACATAATCTACGCCAACTACTCTGGAAGCTTGGTCAAGCCCTATCTCGATGACGAGTACAAATTGGACTATTTTATGGAGGATGTTGGGTTGAATGCCTATTACTACTATGTCCGCCAAGTGATGCCGTTCTGGCTCGACATGAAGGATTTCGAGATCCCGGCATATTTCCGCGGCTATTTCTATTATTTCAAACAGAAGCAATTACTGAGTCGCTATTATTTGGAACGCATCTCCAACGATCTGGGCGATATCGAGGACTTTGACTGGAACAAGCCCTTCTACCCGGGCTACTATTCAACCCTGATGTACAACAACGGAATGATCATGCCACAACGCTCTCGTTACACAAACGTGCCGTTTTATAAATACAAATATTTAAAGGTGTCGTGTCATTTGTTCATTATTTCTGCGATATGATTATTTTATTTTTTCACTTATTTATTCATAAATCTATTGTGAACAGGATATTGAGGCTCTGGAGATGCGTATTATGAACGCCATCGATTTCGGCTATGCGTACGACAAGGACGGTAAGCAAGTCAACATCTATACTCCCGAAGGCTTGAGCATCCTCGCGAATTTGATTGAAGGCAATGTAGACTCGTGCAACCGACGCTTCTATGGAATGTACGACGCTTCGGTTTCAACGTTGACTACAAAGACAAGAACAAAGTAATTCCAAGCGCTCTTCAATGTTACAACACCAACTTGAGAGATCCTGGCTTCTATCGTCTGATCAAGAGGATAATGACGTACTTCTTCAGGTTCGTACGCGCGGTTTCTTCTTCATTTTCCTAAAATCATATATAAGTTTTAATTTTAAATAACTTGTTTCTTTCTCTCCCTTTCGCAGATACAAGAAAAATATACCACACTATACCCAGAACGAGTTGATCTTCCCTGGCGTCAAGTTTGAATCCGTCAATATCGATAAGCTGACAACCTACTTCGACAACTGCGACACGTTCATCAACAATGCTCTCTCTGTGGAGAGCTTCAAAGAGGGAATGAAGTTACGCGTGAAGACTCGCCGTTACTGCCTCAACTACAAGCCGTTCACCTACCGCTTCAATATCAACAGCGACAAGGACACCAAAGCCATACTCAAGATCTTCCTCGGGCCCGCTCTCGACGACGTTCACAAGGAGATGGATCTATCGTATCTCCGAGAGTACTACAAATATTTCTTCGAGATGGATAACTTTGTCGTAACGCGTAAGTCTTGTTGCAATTTAGTTGGTTTCTTCTTCTTTTTTTTATTTTTTTTCGGAATCGCCATTAATGTTCGTTCTTTTAGTGAGACAAGGCATGAACACTGTCGAACGCCGCAGCTCAGACTCAATCTATACCATGTCCGACATGATGTCCAGCGACACGTTCTATAAGAAGTTGGAGAAGGCTGTGGGTGGCGGTGAACCATTCGTCTACTACGAGAAACTTTTCAATCTGCCCGAGCGTCTAACTCTGCCCAAGGGCAAACCTGAGGGCATGCGATTCAAAATGTTCTTCTACCTAAGCGTGTGCGATGACACCAAGCTCATGAACATAGAGCTGCCGATCTTCGGTAAACTGATGCTGGATGGAAAATCGCTCGGCTTCCCGCTCGACAGACCAATGTACCCATGGAAGTTCTTCACGCCGAACATGTTAATAAAAGACGTGTACATCTACCATACGACGGAAAACGAGAAAACGATGAGCTTTTAAGTTATCGAATTAAATTACATGAACTTTCCGAAGAAGATTTTAGCGTCATTATTACAGTTACCGTTTGGAACTACATATGTATCATTCGAATGTGGTAAATCAAAATATTTCTTTCAATAAAGAACACTGAGAAACTATATGTTCCGTGAGAAAAAATATTCACGCTTATGCAAATCCGTCTCTTCTCTTCTTGTACTTTAAATGAAATAATTAAAAATCATTAAATAATACGCGCGTTTCATAAATATCTCCTCTTTCAATTCGCAAAGCTTTTGGCGTTTTGCGACATCGAAATTAAATTCTTTCCTACTTAAATTTTTTATGTTTCAATTTTTTTTATGGTCTGCGTATAAAAATTTAATTATTAATTTTATCATCAATTTTAATTATAAATTATA